GTCGACATCGACACGACCGAGAAGGGCAACTTTTTAGGGCGTGTACATAATCCAAGTGCGCCTGAGAAGGGCGTAATATTGCGTAATCTCTCGGCTAGCTGGGATCGTGCGGAATTTGAAAAGCGTCGACATCATATAACTGATGTCAGTTTTCGCATACGTCCCGGTCAATTCGTCGGCATTGTTGGCAATGTGGGTGCCGGCAAGAGTACGGTATTGCATGCCATACTCGGAGAGCTGGAAATCGCCAAGGGTAGCTTGGAGGTTAATGGCAGTATCAGCTATGCGCCACAGGAAGCTTGGATTTTCGAGGCGAGCATACGCGACAACATCTGCTTTGTAGAGCCGTATGATGCACAACGCTACAAGGATGTTATACAGGCCTGCGAGCTACAGCGCGACTTGCAGCTGCTGCCCTATGGCGACTCGACTATTGTAGGCGAACGTGGCATAAGTTTGAGTGGTGGACAGAAGGCGCGTATAAGTTTGGCACGCGCTGTCTACAGGCAGGCGGATATTTATATCTTCGACGATCCGCTCTCCGCTGTGGATGCGCAAGTCGCTAAAAGACTGTTGCGCAACTGCTTTCTAGACTACTTAAGCACTAAGGTACGCATAATGGTCACACATCGCGTGTACAATCTCAAGGAAGCCGACTGGGTGGTGCTAATGGAGTCGGGCAGCATTGAAGTGCAAGGCACCTATGAGGTGCTCGAACAGAAGATAAGCAAGCGTTTGAGTTTGACGCAGGAAGAGGTCGAAAAGCGACCGAAGTTACTGCATTCTGAGAGCGTTATGGTGAAGGCGGCGGAGGAGGAGACGGAAAAAGTGGAACTACCAAACGATACGGGATTGGACCGGAAGGAACAGCAAATGCAGGGTTCTGTGCATTTTCACACCTATGCGGCGTACTTTCGCGCACTTCGTATGCCCTGGCTGATCTTGATGATATTTGCATTGTTCATTCTAGCGCGCGGCTGTCAAGCGGTGATGGACATCTTCATTGCGAGATGGTGAGTATAAGATTTTAGTGGACACTGGTTGTGGGTTAGATGAAATTAAAGGAAAAAGTGAAAGGTAAAATGTAGAGTGGGTACAGTAATGGAGGCGATTTGTAATAGATTAGTGAAATCTTCAGTGACTGTGGGTACTAGTCAGGATTTAAGAAAAATGTACTACTCTTCGATATAGCCATCTTTAGTGCGGATAATAGCATCGAGTCTGCGGTAATGATTCACATGTTGCACGAATGTGGTGTAGTTGATATAAAATACTTCTTGTCCCGTTGACTCATGACCGCGTTTAAGGATTTATTTTCATTCTAAGGGTGGTGCAGTGTTCTTAGGCCGCAAAGCCTAGTAGTAGTTTCTCAAACAGAGACTTAAAGGAATATAATATGCCGCAGATAACTCCAATCGCAACGTATTTCAGCAGAATAAAGACCAATAAGTAAAGCGGCTCTATGTTTCAGAACTATCTTAGCACTGTTGAGTATTTCAGGCCGACAAACTGCAATTCAATATTTACAACGGAGCAAGACATTCTCGAGAGTAGAAATCAATTTATAGAATACGGTACTTTCTAAACCGTAATATCAAATAATACAAAAATCAAAGTAGTTTCGAGTTGGAACAGTTTCAATAAATTAGCTCCCAACTCTTAAACGATGAGAAAGAAGGAAGTTACCACAAAAACGAATTTTTAGTAGCCTTTGACTTTGACAAGATGAAATCTTAATATAAATAAACATCTATAATCGCTGCCTTTCCTCAGGGCCACTTGGGAGGAATCTCAGCCGCAGTTGCATGAAACATCCGAGGCTTTTTCTAAAAAACGCATGAATATCGTGCTAATCTATACGGGTCTCATGCTGGGCACGCTCATCCTCTACGTAGTGCGTACCTTTGGCTTCTTCTACATTTGTTTAGCCATCTCGTTACGGCTGCATGATTATCTCTTCAATGGTATTATACGCGCACGTATGCGTTTCTTCAACACAAATGCTTCAGGCAGAATACTAAATCGATTCTCCAGTGATATTGCTAACATAGATATTTCACTGCCGCAAGCCATGTTGGACTCGTACTCGGTGAGTGTACAATAATACTAATTCAGAAAAAAAGGTTCCTATGGCCTGATATGATGCTTCTATTCTAGTTCTATATGAACATAATTGCAGTGTTGACGATTGTAGCTTTCGCCAACTATTGGCTCCTAATACCAGCATTCGTCATGATCGCACTTCTTTACTTGTGTCGCGGTCTGTACATCAATGCGAGTCGTAGCCTCAAACGTATCGAGAGCATGAGTAAGTCCGATTTTACCTTTCGTCTTTTGTTATTTACACATTTTTTACTAACTTTTTGATATCCTTCTCAGCCCGCAGCCCCGTTTACTCACACACGAATCAAACATTCCAGGGTCTCACCACGATACGTGCGTTGAAAGCCAGCAGCCATTTGGATAATGAGTTCCACTTCCATCAGAATACTAACACTTCAGCATTATTTCTCTATGTGAGCGTTAATCGCGCTTTCGCTTTTTGGACTGATCTCATTTGTGTGCTTTACATAATAGCGGTTACATTCAGTTTTTTGGTAATCGACAGCGAGTTTTATAGCGGTGATGTCGGTCTTGCCATTACCCAGTCTATGACGTTGATAATCATGTGCCAATGGGGTATGCGACAGACAGCTGAAATGGAGAATAATATGACTAGTGTCGAGCGTGTGGTCGAATACGCCGAGTTGCCGTCAGAGCCTGCGTTGGAAACCCGCACTAGCATGTTGCTACCTCAAACATGGCCGAGTGCCGGTGAGTTGCGATTCAAAGACGTCTATCTACGGTACACGGAACAGGGCGAACCCGTACTAAGAGGGCTCAATTTTGCCATCCAATCTATGGAAAAGATTGGTATTGTAGGTCGTACTGGCGCAGGCAAGTCGTCTATCATACAGGCCATCTTTCGGTTGGCGATAAATGAGGGCTCCATCTTGATTGATGACATTGATACTGGCACATTGGGTTTGCATGATTTGCGCAGTCGCATCGCGATCATACCGCAGGATCCGGTATTATTCTCTGGCACAATGCGCTACAATCTCGATCCTTTGGAAGAGAAGGTAGACGAAGAGTTGTGGCGTGCATTGGAGGATGTGAAACTCAAGGCGTATGTGTCTTCTTTGGAAGGTGGGCTGAATTGTCGCATGCACGATGGGGGTTCGAACTTCAGTATGGGTCAAAGGCAGCTGGTCTGCATGGCGCGGGCTATACTGAGGCGCAACAAGGTGCTAATAATGGATGAAGCGACAGCGAATGTGGATCCAGAGTAAGTATGATGGATTAATTTTGTATCTATCTGTGGCTTAGACGAGGGAAATACAAGTTTATATCGAGGTGAGGAAAGGAGGTAAAATTACAGTAAAAGAAATAAAAGAGACTTATAACGTAAAGGAAGAGAAAGGAAAGGAAAGCAAAGGGAAGGAAAGGAAACGCCTGGAGTAATCTAAGGAAAGGCTATAAAAGAATAGGTTCGGTTAAGACAGGAATGATACTGAAGCGTCTCTAAACATGAAAATTGATGCGCAAGTTATCCTCACTGGTTGCTTACCACTGAGCACAGCCCGAATTAGCCATACGTAATCTGGAATAAAACGACCGTTATAGAGAATCGCCAAAAGCCTATTCATTACGGATTGGATAACATACATCCGCGAGTCCGTTTCTTTTATAAACACCCAAAGCCGGGGGCGCATTCCTTGATCATCTTTCAAACGTGTCTACCTCATCCGGCCTCCTTTTTAATGCCGCTTTTAGAGCTTTGCATAGGGCAGGCGATAGGTTACTTTCTGGGTGTAGAGCATGCTTTTGAGAACACGGAATTCTTTTTAATAGACAATTGTGTGTGGATGTAGACGTTATCAATTTTCATTGATAAAGAAGTATCCTTATATTCAGAGCCATTATATTCATTCTAGGACAGGGAAGAGTCATAATCCGAGTTACGAAAGGCCATCCTATGAATAATCTGTGATCTTTCCTCTATTGGGACGCACTACACCGGATGACATTGCCATGCTACTTCGGAGCCACTATCTTAATGCGTACAGAATGCACTGAGGATAGCCCTCAACTATGTAAAACTTAAAAGCCGAGAAGACTAACAAAGTTTTCTACAGAAAAAGTAAAAAAAAAATATGTCGAAAACACATAAACTAATTTTCTCTATCATAAGGCGAGCTAACAGTCTGAGGCAGTGTATAGAATGTGGGGCGACCAACAAATCTCGATATATATATGTATATACACACTGACAGCAGAGCAGCGCAAATGGCATTAATAGAATTCAGACAAGGTACAAACCTCTCGAAGTTCATTAATGATACGCGGATCAAAAAAAAACATGTAGCCAAGTAGAGGTATGTTACAATAGGTCAATCTCGGCCGCGGTAACTATACAGATAACCTGCTCCCTCCTCTAAATCTTATTTACTATATCTACTCTAATCTACACCCAACATAGTAATAAAGAGCGGAATGAGTAATAAATAAAATATGATAAAAAGTGAAGAAAAGTAGAGAGGCACCCAAAGGGGCAATATTATTTTCTCAGAATTGTTTAGCCTTTCAAAAATTGCTCTTTACTTTAAAGTACAACTACATATAAATCGTCTGTGCTTACAAAGAGTGTTTTGACGGCGAAAAAGGGCGCGTTTAAAATAACGAAGAAAGACGCCTAAATATATTTTGTATATTCCTGTTATTGTGACTATATCCTGGAGTATGGGAATAGGCTAACAGTGGACCGAGGAGAAAGACGCGCAAACACGGTTGACCGTGAAAATAGGTTTACGCGTCTTTCTTCGACCTCAAATGTTTAGATTTACGCATCTTGGTCCGCCGTCAACTATATATGTAT